CCGGGGCAGCCCTCCAACGGTTGCCGCAGTCAGAGCACCACCCCGCGGCGGGGCACGTCGAGTCCGCCGAGCGCTCCCCGAGTCCCGCAGCGCCGCCACTCTCGCGAGAAGCCGGCAGAGCCCGAGAACTGGGGGGAGGAGGAGGAGGGAGGAGGGAGAGGGAGGAGGAGAAGGGAGGGGCATTTAACGGTGGCAGCTGGTTCTGCGCCGGATCCGGGAGCGGGGCGGGCGCCATTGTGCTTCGCTGCCGACTGCTCGGCCTCCGAGTCCTCGCGCTCTGAGGAGGAAGGCGGCGGTGAGGGCGCCGGGAGCGGGTCGCGCCCTGGTCAGGACCAGCCCCGGAGCGGAGGTAATGGGCTGCGGAGCCCGGGCTTCCCGCGGGGGGGGGGGAGGTGGTGTAGCCAGGCCGCGGTGGGGGAAGGGAAGGGGCCCGGAGTGCAGGCCGGAGGCCGCGGAGGCCCCTTTCCTCCTCCAGCGAGCCGGGGCGGAAGAACCCGGGTGCGGGACCCCGGGTCCGGAGGGGATGCCGGAAGCCCTGGGGAAACTTTTTGGGGGGCGGAGGGGAACAAATGGGCCCCCCCTTTAAACCCCCGGGGGCCGGGGGCGGGAGCCCCAATTTTGTCTCTGGCAGCGGGCCTTTTTCGACGGAGTAAGGAGCCCCCCCGACCCCCGCGGACCGGGGGGTTCCGGGGGGGGGGGGGGGGGGGTCGGGGCCCCGCCAACCCGGCCTCGAAGCGAAGGGGCTGTCCCTGCCCCTCGGCTGCTGCGAGGATTTGCGTCGGGATCCCGTTCTCGGATGGCGTGAGACTCGGGGGCGTTCTTTTGGGGCTGCGGTCAATTGTGTGGCTTTCAACTTGAAACAGGTGATGACATGTCTAAAAAACGGACCTAATGGCGTAAGAATCAAAAACATGGAGGCCACCAGTGGTAGAACACTCCCTCATTTTGATGAAACTGCGTAGTGAGGACTTGAGAACGTGTGCGAACACGCACCAAAAAATACTAAAATACTTTTTCCCCCCTACGTATAGATGTAGATATTATGTACGGAAACTCTGTCTTGGTAATAAATTCGTCACGACTAGTATCTTATGGCACTTTTCAAAAGTAAACGTGCCAAGTGAAATTGAATTTGGTAAGATTCCCCCCTCCTCCCCCGATTTTTGTAGGATTTTTTAAAGGTATTTTTATTATTTTAAGTCTCCCCTTTTCTTACTCCTATCCATCCATAATGTTATAGAGCTAAGAGGTAAGGTTAAGGCTGAAGTTTTGACTTAAAACAGACAGTGTAGGTTTTTTCCTCATGATTTGGGGTCAGTATTTTATTTACAGCTCTGCAGCATTATGTGAAAGAACAGTGGGGTACCAGAAGATCTGGCCATGAGTCTTGATTTCGCAGCAAATTACTTGACCTCTTCACATTTCCTTAGAAATGCAGCAGTTAATGCCTAGACTTGATGTGAGGAGTAACTTAGGGGTCTCAGATGAGGCAGTCAGCAATACTGGGGGACCTAATGCTTGCAGAGTGAATTCTCAATGGACACAAACAATTTGAATTGGCACCTAACCTCCACTTGTTCGGGAATTCTTGTCCAAATAACCTTAAAAGTCTACTCTTGCCTGTCATGTCCCCCACAGATTGCTCACAGCTTCACACAATATATACTTATACAAGTTCTCTACTACGAATGTGTTTAGGTAAGAACTTTAACCACTCTTATTTTGCCTTATGTTATACCACAGATGTAAGCATCGTCGGGTTTTTTGTTTTTTTTTCAAACTCTTGCCTGCTGGGTAGATGTCTTGAGTAAAATTTAAAATTCCTACTTATTTAAGTACAAGTGATGTATCTTTCTGCCACATTAGCAAGAGAGCTTATTTTCCTAGATGAAGCACAAAGATGCCCCTACTTAGACCTGCCACATAGGTTTTACTTGAAGTTCTCAAATAATCAACTTGGATATAAAAAGTCATCCGTGGCACTCATGCAGCCAATTTTTAATCAGCCCTGTATTCACTTCACAAACTCTTCATCTGGTATGTGTTCAAGAGTTACCCACACTTTACTGTTGTATTTTAGGAAAATAATTGTAATAGTGCAAAATTATCAAATAATGTAAAACATTTTTTGATAATAGGTTGTTTGTTGTTTACTGGTTTCTAGATGAGGGCTTCACGTTTCAAGGAATGAGCTTGACACACAGCGTCTGCCCTCCCAACAGCTCACAGTTTAGTCATCAGACTAATATGTAAACAACTACTCCTATTATCTTAGTGTAAGTACATAATAGTACCTTGGGAGCACAGAGGATGGGTGTTTATTCTTGGGGAAAATTTTACAGGAAGTATTGCTTTAACAAAGATGTGAAGGATGATGACTTAAGAGTTTGATAATGAAACTGCAAAGTCATGGTATCATGGTTTTAGGAATGGGCAGTTCGTTCCCCATAGCTGAAACAACTTGAATGGAAATTAGAGCAAGCCATGAAAGACCTGTATTGTTTTACAAAGTTAGTGCTCTGCTGTTGGGATTGGAGAGCTATTGCATCCCTGCACCAAATAAAAATAGTTTTTAGATTATCTTTGCTGATACATATTTCTTTACTACAATAATTAAGTGCCAGTGCCAATAATAAACTGGGAAATGCACAGGCTTTCATTAAACCTCATTTTTAACCAACAAATTAAACTTAAGAAGTAATGAGTCTAAATAAAAGAATCAACAGCTGATCACATTTAAGATGATTACCATTTAAAATGAGTAAGATTTTGAGTTCTTACTAAAACCTACTTGAATTCATTAATGCAGAATCCTATTACAGTGAAATAATTTATCTTCTCACAAATCATTATTTTGCAAGAAAATATATCTAAATACAGTTGCTAATCATAAAGTATTTATGCCCCAAAAGCAGGGGCATAAACTTATAATTTGAGAGTTATTTGGCTGGAGTTTAATTTTTATTGACCTTAATTTTTAACTTTTATATTCTGGTCTGAACTCATGGTCAAAGCTGGTTTTTCTTGTTCTCTTCGATATACCGGTTAGACTAGATAAGTTGAACACCTGGTTTTCAAATCACCTACTGGTCTTCTACATACACCCACTTTTGTCAACAGCTTTAAAAGAAGACATATTTTTTATCTTAAAAGTTAGTTCTCATTTTCCATTATAATTATTGCACTTGAATGTAATTCTCACTTTCCAGAAAAAACCCTAAAATGGTTTCCACTTACTGAATAAAGATTGAAACTTTAGACATGAATTTTAAATACACTTCAAAGGAGGACAGATTATCTCAAAGTACTGTGGTGTAGACTTACCATAGTCACATTTTCTCATGGAGATATTGAACTTTTTTCTAGTTATTTTTTAAACGATGGATCTATCTTTGTGTCTTAAGTATTTGTTAGCTAAAAGTCTTTGAAAGACCCCAAAAATTCTATGCTTTCCTCATGTGACCACCCTTAGCTTCCATGTCTCCATGTTCACTAGGAACAATAAAACACGAGAATTTCTTATTGAGAAAAAAATTTTCCCCAGAAGCAGATTTAAAAAAAAAAGAATATGCCAAGTACTGTAGGGATAAATAATAGAATTTTAACTATGTTTGTAGTTAATAATTAGCAATTACAGTACATTGTTTTTGTTTTTTATAACTCTGGCCTTCATGACATGTATGTATTGTATAGTAATGTTGTGCTTTTGGTAATTCAGCAACTGCAACTCACTTGGATATTTAAGGCAAATTCTCAGTTACCCCCTGAATTAGAATCAGATTTTTCTTAGAAACTGACATGGTAATTGGAAGAAAGTGAAAGTTAGGTTTAGATTTTGAAGCTTTATGGCTGCATAGCAACCCACCTCAAAATCTAGTGGATTAAAGCTACTGTCAGTGTAAGAAAACATTCAAACCTGTGAAGAATTTTTTGTGAGTTTATGTGAGCCAAACTGTCAACCAATACCAGGAAGCAGAATTTCAAAGGTTTGAGATAATGCTCTGGAGAATGGCAGTTTTGCACTTTATTGTATACATTACAATCAAAAGAGGAGACGTAAATGGGTTACATGAAATCCATTGGTGATAGATTAGGGAGGCGGGAGAAAAAGCAAAGCAGGGGGAAACCTCTAGGTTGGATAAAAAATAAAATGATAGGCACACACACTTCTTTTACTTAGGTGGGTGCAGGATAGTTAACAATCAACAATAACTCAATCACAATGAGTCAAGAACAGCGTGGCGCCTGTGCTTTGAGGGGTTGGTGGGGGAGGAAAATTGTACTTTGCCATTCCAACAATATGTTATCGTAGATGCACAAAGACAATAGACAGGCTCAGTTAAGGTAAGATAACAGCTTAGGACATAACTATCCACCATAAACTGCTTTTAGTTTTAAAAGTTTTAATTTCAGACCATCCTTTGTGGTTACTTTAGCTCTCCAAGTTTGCAAGGCCGTCACACAGGCCTTCCCTGAGCTAGTCAGGTTAGCATGGCCCCTTTTTGGACACACTACTGTTTACTATTTTTTTACACTTCTGTGTGCCTTTTGGGCAGGTATACTTGTTTTGCCTAGGTTCGCTCATGTTCACCATTCAACTGGAAGATTTCTCAGGCTGGAAGGTCCAAGATGGCATCACTCACATGACTGACCATTGGTGTTGCTTAATATTTAGGCTTTGCTCCAAGTGGTCTTTTATGATATGGGGGTTTCAAGACCAATCCGAGAGAGGGAAAGCGGAAGCTATAAGACTTCTTACAGTTTGGCAAACCATATAATGTCACGTAACGTGGCACATTCTTTTATTTTTGTAATCTTTATTATTAAAAGTATTAATGTATGTCCCCCTTGCCTCCCCCTCTCCCCCCTTCCCATTAACCCCTTTGAGCCCACCCCATGCTGCACATTCTTTTAGTTAAAGTAAATCTCACAAGACAAGCCCTTATTAAAGAGGCGTGGAATTAAGATTCCACCTCTTACTGGGCAGAGCAGCAACATCACAATACAAAAGGGCCTGTGTGCTTAGATGGGAGGGATTTATAATTTACCACAGATAGCTGCCAACATTTTAAAAACAGGCATCCTTAATGTCATTGGGATTTGCTTTAAAATAGAGGATGGTAAAAGCAAGATAGGTTAATTGTTGAAGATTGTTGATTGGTACATAGAGGTTCATTATTGTCTCTACTTATGTTTGAAATTTTTCATAGTAAAAAAATATTTGATGCATACTTACCTATCTAAACTGCATTTAGTGAAGTGATTTTAACCTTTTCTTCCATTTAGTATTTACTAGAATAGTACTTTATTTTATATTTACTACTTCCTTTGTAGTATGTAGCTACTAAG